GTTTAGAAAGAAAAATCACTGAAGAGGAAGCAGCCTCCTCAACATGGGTGAAGGGTTTGATAGGTATTATCAGCTTAATAGATCCTTTTTGATATAGTCACTGACAGGCCTGGGAGCTATTAATTGTCAAGGCTGATAGTTGAGCTTTATTTTATACTGCTTTTTTGCCTCATTGGCTTGTGTTTGTTTAATAGCACTGTGGCAGAACTCAGTGTGAAATATCAATGAGGTAAATCCAAATTCTACTCCAGAGCAAGGAGTTTGGGGAGATAGGTAGAAGAAAACCCTGGCATAAAGTTTTTAAAACTTGGCTTGGGGTAAAGAAAATCTAGACAGCATTCTGAGGCAATGAAGGGCTCAGGAACAATAACAGTGTCCAATCCACAGGGCGGGGAGTAGGGGACTGGGAGAAGAGAGCTCTGGCAATGTGGCGGACCAGAAGTTCATAGAAACATCCCTCCCCCTAAAAAATAATTGTTGGATAAAACAGTAATTGTCTTTCTATAATACACGGGTTAGCAAGAGGCAAAGTAAGTAGTGAAAAATGATAAAGTGAGACTCTATAGAGGTAAGGAAATTCTGGAGCCTGGCATTTGTCTGAGGGCATCTGCCAACCCCTGTCTTCCTAGAGCATGGGCTTGAATGAGCAGTGAGTGCAGGTGGGCCAGGAGGCAAAACTTGGAGCCCTAAGGTCCTTATGTAAGATATTGATTAACTTTAGATTTATTAAGATAAATATGTGACCCATGATTTCTAAAGTCTCTACTGACAGAATTGAAATAAAGTATGTAACTTCCGAACTAGTAGAGTGGGGGCGGGGGGGCGGGGTAGAGGGAATGAGAAGAGGAAAAATAATCAATGCAAAAGAAGGCAAGAAAGAAAGGAAAAAACAAACCTAGTAAACAAAATGAACAAATAGAAAGCAAAAACAAAGCTAGTAAGAATGAATCCAATTTAAAAATAATCACGATCTACATAAACAAGTTACACTCTCCATTTAAAAATCAAAGATTGTTAGGCTAGATTTTAAAAATTCAACTTTAAACTGTTCATAAGAGAAACCCCTAAAAACACAAGGACAGAGGAAGACTGCAACTGAGATGATGGGAAAAGACATACTAGGTTAATACTCTGCTGAAGGAAGCAGTGTGGCTACATGGAATATTAGGAAAAACTAGACCTCAAGACAAAAACGTTACTACAGATAAAGAGGATGACTACATATTGATAAAGATGTGCAATTTATCAGGAAGATATAATTCTAAATTTGTTTGCCTCTAATAGCATAACTTAGAAATACGTAAAAAAGAAATTGTAACTATAAGAAAAATAAGCACATCCAAAATCATAGAGTCATTTTCACACATCTCTCTCCAAATTAATAGATCAAATAGATAAGATTTGAAGAACACAAGTAAGAAGCTTGATCTAATGGACTTACAGTACAGCAAAAGCACATTCTTCTCAACACATGGAACATTTATAAAAATGAATCATACAAGGGTCCATAGAGAAAAATCTCAACAAAATTCTAAGAATCTATATCATGCAGCCCACATTCTCTAACAGTTAAATTAGAAATCAATAATGAAAAGTAACTGGAGAAACCCCATACTTTTGAAAATTAAAAAACACATTCTAACTCATGAGTCAAAGGAAAACATCAGAGTAGGAATTAGAAAGCATTGAGAATTGAAAGATCATGAAAATACTCATCAGAAGTGAGGGACATAGACAGCTAAAGCAGAATTAGTGGGAGGACCATAACCTTACTGCTTATGCCAGAGACCAAGAATGTCTGCATTCAACTCAAGAAGTTAGAAAAAGAAAAGTGAATACACCCAAAGAAAGAAGAAAGAGGGAAATAACAAATATAAGAATAGAAATCAATGAAAGAAAAACTTCTATACAATAGAGAGTATCAAAAAAAACAAGCAAACCACAATTGTCTTCCTTTTTTTGGCTTAAAAGACTAATACAAGTGACAAACTGCTGGCAAGATTGATGAACAAAAAATAGAGAAGACACCAATAACCAGTGTCAGGAATGAAGAAGAGGACATCCCTATAGATGCTGCAGACATAAAGATAAAAACGGGATACGACTCACCACTTCATAATGATTATTTTGAATATTTGGGCAAAACTCACCAACTCCTACAAAAATGTAATTTCCAAAGTTAATTCAAGAAGAAATACAAAACCTGAATAGCTCAATAATCAGCAAAGAAATTGAATAATTAGTCAAAATTTTTACCATAAAGCAAGCATCAGACTTAGATGGTTTTATAAAGAGTTCTACAAAATAACCAGGAAATGAATCATTCTAATCTCACACAAACTATTTCAGAATGTAGAAGAAAGGGAACACTTGCCGTTTTCTGAATCAAGTATGTCCTTGATGCTAAAAATGGAAAACCACAAAAAGAAAATACAAATTTTAAAAAGTGTATAATTTACAGTTAGCAACAAAAAGTGTAAGCCATGGAGAAAAGAAAACTAACAAAAAGTATGCAAAACTTTAAAGACTTTGTCTTCTAGACAAATAAATAGCAACATATCAACACACCATTTTTATGAATAAGAACACAGCATCCTAACATAAAGATGTTAGTTTTCCCCAAATTGATATGTAGATTAACACAATTCCAATCAAAATCCAAAAAACTTTTTGTGGAATTTAAACATAATTCTAAACTTTATCTGAAATAGCAAACAGTCAAGAATAATAACACAATTCTGAAGAAGGAAGAGAAGAAGGTGAGGTAATTTGCCCTGCCAGATAACAAGGATTAGAAAGCAATAGTAATTAAAGTACTGTGATATGGTCACAGGGATAGACAAATAAACCGATGGGGCAGAATTCAAAAGCCCTAAAACAAACCCACGTACATAAGGAAACTTGACAGATGGCAAAATCGATACTGCAGATCAGTGGGAAAAGAGGATGTGCTACTCAAAAACTTTGCTGGGACAAATGAAAAATACAAATAGAAGCCTACTCTACACAAAAATCAGCTCTAGTTCCAAGTGGATGAAAAACAAAAATGAAAAGCAAAACTTTAAAAGTTTTAGTACCTCAGAAAAATTTTCATGATCTTTGAGTAGAGAAGGGTTTCTTAAGATACAAAAAGTGAAAATCATAAAGGAAAAGATTCATAAATTCTACTACATTAAAAGTAAAAACATCTATTCATCAAAACTTACAATAACAGAGTAAAAAGATGAGCCACAACCTGGCAAGTGATATATACAAACTTACTACCAACAAAAGATTAGTATCTGAAATATGTCAAGAACTCCAACAAATAAGTAAGAAAGACAAACAAATCAATTGAAAAATGAGCAAGGGATGAACAGGCACTTCACAAAGGAGAAAAATAAATGACAAAAAAATACACATATGGAAAATATGCTCAATCTCATTAATAATTTTAAAAATTAAAGTTAAAACCATAGTGAGATAATACTTCACATCCACAAAATTAGCAGAAATTGGCTTGCCGATACTAAGAGCTGGAGAGGATGTGAGGCAGGGGAAAGACTCACATACTGACAGCAGAAGTACAGACTGAAAAGGAAAACATTTTGGAATTGTGTGATAAAATTAAACATACACATACTCTATAGCCCAGTAATTCCACTCCTACATTTAGACCCTGGAGAATGCTCGTAGCAGCATGTGATGACAGAAACTTGGAAACAACCTAAATGACCATTATCAGAAAAATGGATAAATAAATACAATGAGATAGTGTACAGCAATAAAAATGGAAATATTACAGCAATACACAGTAGCGTAGATAAATCTCAGCATATGATTGAGCAGAAAAAGCAAGTCGCAGAAATATATCTGGGGTATATGGTTGAAAAGAGACAATATTAAATAATAAATTATATATATATACATATACATGTGGTAAAACTACAAAGAAAAGCAAAGAGTGATTAGCACACAAGCAGAACAGGATAGTGGGTACCTCCGGAGGAAGGAAAGGATCTACAGGGGGGTCTCATAAAATGGGCTTCTAAGGTACTGGTAATATCTTTCTTGCATTGAATTATGGACATGTGTGTACTTTTTATATTGTCATCCTTTGTGACATACATTTATGTTTTCCACAGTCTTAAGTAGGTGTGGTATATTTCAAAATGAAATGGTAAGTAAATAAATAACTAAGGCCAGAGCCTAAAGAACTGCAACTGGAATCTACAAAATGAGCCCAGTAATTTCTGAAGGACGAATAGGAGACAGTGACGATTCCCTGAGGCTCTGGTCCATGGCTGAAATTAGAAAAAGGCTTCACTCCTGAGTGAGACAAAAGGTTTTCAGCGGGGCAGAGACTCCTGCTGGTGCCGGTGGAGGTTGCTGGGGAATTTCATGGGATGTAAAAGAAGGATTTGAGAAGAAAAACTTGAACAAAGGAGTATTGACTTTCTTTTGTATGCAGGAAGGTACATGATTTGTACTCTTGCAGGTACAAAAAAGATACTTTTTATGAATAAAGAGGACGTTTGTATCAGTTACTTAAACAAATCAACGTTTATTTTCCTTCATGTAGCAGGAAGTGCAGAAGTAGACCAGCGTGTTCAGTGAACCAGCAATATTTTTTAAATCCAGGCTCGTTCAGTCTTTACACTCTGCCATTTTTAGCCTGGGGGCTTTTTGCCCCGTGAAGCTCCAAACTTCTCATCTGCTTTTGATGCCGCACTAGGGTGTTTCCCTGACTCTCCTTCCAGCTTTACTCAGCAAAGTAAAGGCCTTCCTAGAACTCTCCCACAGCCTACTACTCACATCCTACTACTCATATACCTATCTCATGTTCTGAGAATGGTGTCACATGGCCATTTCTTTCTAGGAAGGTAATTACTTTGCCATTATAGCATGTATAGTAGGAGCAGGAAAGAACAAAGCAGGAAGGGTGGCAGTGGTTTCTGAGCAGCTATGCAGCAAAGTCTGTCAAAATGCTTCCCTAAGAATTCTTCCTCTTTCCTCCCCAGGAGCCAGTCTACTTGATGACCTACATAAATATTTCTCCTTCCATCATTCCCATGGAGACACCATGACTGTCATGGATCCAAAGCAAATGAATGTTGCTGCTGCTCTTTGGGCAGTTGTCTCTTACGTCGTTGCAGACATGGAAGAAATGCTGCCCCGGTCTTAAGAAGAACAAGAAAGAAGTCACTTTTGTCCTTTCTGGACAGGAATCCTGAGTCTGCAGCTTCAGGAAGCCCCTCTTCACCTAACAATTTCACCTGATCCATTTCAAAGCACAACACTAATTCATACTTTCTGTTATATATCTTGATACTTTCCAAATTCTCTGTTTCTAGAATAAAGAATGATCTCTACCCCCACATAGAATCAACATATGGTAGGGATCACAGTGGGGCCATTTCTTTATACCACCTGTTAAAAGTATTATTTCTAGGGGCGGGCCCGGTGGTGCGGTGGTTAAGTGCACACTTTCCGCTTCTGTGGCCCAGGGTTCGCCGGTTCGGATTCTGGGTGCGGACATAGCACCGCTTGGCAAGCCATGCTGTGGTGGGCGTCCCACATATAACATAGGGGAAGATGGGCACGGATGTTAGATCAGGGCCAGTCTTCCTCAGCAAAAAGAGGAGGATTGGCAGCACATGTTAGCTCAGGGCTAATCTTCCTTTCTACTTTGAAAGTAAACATTGGCTAAATCTTTGGAAGACCTCTGGTTTTCACATGTGTATGTATGAAGAATAAATCAAATACAGTGACACCAATTTTTTTGTTTGATTATTTATTGAAGGAATGGAGGAATACACAATTGTAGTATGGTCTTAATTGAATATATAGAGGCATTTGGCTTTCTAACTTGTACATTTTTATACTATTAGAGTTTTTTAAATAAGATATAAATTTTTTTTTAATTAGAAAAAATGTCACCATTTGGGGGGAAAATCAAGTATGTATAATCAAATTGCCTTATTACGGATGAGTACCAGGGTCTATCACCAGATAAATGATAATACTATTTTACATTTATGTTTTATATATTTCACACAATATTTCTATGAAGTTGGGGCTTATTCACATTTTGCTGATAACAGGACTGATGCTCAAAGAGGCTAAATAATATTCATAGGCTTCTACAGAGCAAAAACATTGACCCCCATCCTTTCTGGGAAGAATCCCGACTGTTCTTCTACACATAGTGTCTGGTATTCAATAAAAAAATTGCAAGACACACCAAAAAAATGCAATAAAAAATGAACTCATTGCCAAGAGTTAAGACAATTAAGAGAATCAGATTAAGAGATAACCTAGATGTTGGAACTATCAGAGAAGGACTTTAACATAACTATGATTAACATGTTAAAGATCTGGTGGGAAAAGTGGACTACATACATGAACAGAAGGAGAATTTCAACAGAGAGAGGAAAACTGTAAAGCAGAGTCAAGTGAAAATGCTAAAATAAAAAATACAGCATCAGAGATAAAGAGTTTCCTTGCTGAGCTCATCAACAGACTGGACAAGTCTGAGGAAAGAATCAATGAACTTGAAAATAGGTTAATAAAAATTATCCAAACTAAAACACTAAGAGAAGAGTGAAGGAAAACAAACACCAGAACATCCAGGAGTTATGATCTACTATATGTGTGGTCTAATATACATGTCATTGAATTCCCAGAAGGAGAAATTAAGTATCAATTTTATTAACGGTAATAATTAAAAGGATTGAAGGACACAGTAAGGTCCTTCCTTTCTGGCAAGGCAGCAGACTGGTCCTCTGACTGGCCCTTACACTGACAACTAAAAGTGCTGGATAACATCTAGGAAACATCTTCTTAAACATATGAATGAACTGTTTAAAAGGTAAAGAATATTAGCCAAAAAACTAAGTGAAGGGATAAAGCAAGAGAGATACCCAGAACATTAAACCAGCTTTCTCTTTGAGAAAATTTGCAGAATATGGTGAACTTCAATTCCATTTCACAGCCTTTCAGGGTCCAGGGGACTGCAGACAAATCCCAGAGCCTGCCACATTAGGGATACTAGAGAACCCTATTAAAACTGGGACCCCAAAGGATTACAGGCATACCTTGGAGATATTGCAGATTTGGCTCCAGCCCACCACAATACAGGAAATGTTGCAATAAAGTGAATCACACAAGTTTTTTGGTTTCCCAGTGCATATAAAAGTTATGTTTACACTGTACCATAGTCTATTAAGTGTGCAATAGCATTATGTCTAAAAAAAATAATGTACATACCTTAATTAAAAAATATTTGATTAATTAAGCTAATTAAGATATTAGCTAAAAAGTGCTAATCATCATCTGAGTCTTCAGTGAGTCATAATCTTTTTCTAGTGGAGGATCTTGTAAAAAATGCAGTATCTGTGAAGCACAATAAAGTGAAGTATAATAAGATGAGATATGCCTGTATACTCAACACAATGGAGAACTAAAAATAACTCCGAGGACTGGAAGGAAAATTATTGTTATTAAATAAGTACTGAGTGGAGGGTCCAAAGAAATTTCCACGAAGTTATAATAAATATGAACTCACAGTCAAAAGTGAAAAAAATAAAAAAAAGAACCATAGCATTCTGCACAAGAGCAAACCAAAAAAGAAAACAGCAGAATTAACCCACGATATCCTATGGTATTGGAATTTTTAGACTGAGAATTTTCTAAACTATGTCCATTAGGTTTAAGAAGGTAAAAGAAGGGCTTGGAAATAGAATAGAGAACGAAGGAATTTAAAAAGTGACCAAGCATATTGTAAAAAGAACCAAATAGAACTTGTAGAAATGTAAACTACAGCAAGTGAAATTTAAAAATCAGATGAGAGAATTCATGAACTGGAAGATAATAGTGAAGAAATTCACGAGAATTTAGCACAGAAAGAAAAAGGGCGAATATGAACAAAAGTTAAGAAATATGGAGGACAGAGTTATATATCATCTAATATATGTTTAATCAGGGTTCCAGAAAAGAGAAAATAGGACAAAGAATTGTCTGAAAAAATAATAAATGAAAAATTTCCAGAAATAATGAAATATACCAATGCACAGAATTAAGAAACCCACTGAATCCCAAATAAAATAAATGAGAAGAAATCCACACTAAGACATATTATAGAGAAACTACAGACTACAAAAGACAAAGAGAAGATCTTTGAAGCAAGAGAGAAGGATTATCTTAAAAGGACCAACAATTAATAATAGATAACTTTTAATAATAGCAACAGTGCAGGCCAGAAGACAGTGGAATGATGTCTTCAGCATGCTAAGAGACAACAATTATCAACTTAAAAATTCTATGCTCAGCAAAAATATCTTTCAAGAATGAGAACAAAATAAGGATGTTTTCACATAAACTAAAACTGAAAGTTTACCACCATAGGACTTCATTAAGGGAAATTTGAAAATGTGTGCTCCTGGCAAAATTAAATGACCCTGGAGAGAAGACCAACAGACAAGAAGAAGTGAAGAGTCTGGGTCCATGCCAAAAATCAATGTGTGATCTTTCAGGCTCAGCTATAGGTGATTACAAAGGCTTTGTCTGGCAGGCCCCATAGGGGAAAGCTACCCTCCTCACACCAGGCTTGGTGCACAGCCAGTGCATTATAGTCTTCTGAAGGGAGCTGCAATCAAAGACTCAGGACATCTGGGCTAACCATGTTCATACACTTATCCATATTCCTAGCCCAGACACCTCCATTCAGAGGCCTCCTTGTTGAGGGTCCTGACTAAGACACTTTTGTCCCCACTGACTCAGCCCTTTCCACTTCTAGCCCTTTCCTCTTCCCCTCTCTCTAGCCTCCCTGCACCCCAACCCCCAGTGAAATGTCGGGAGTCTTTCATTCAGAGCTCTTCAGCAATGAGATGATTCCCCTCCATCTACCTGATTGATCTGCCCCTTGTCCCTTGCTGTTCTGTGTGGAAAAATGGAACATGAGGGATCTGGTGCCCATTTTTGCCTCTTGCTTATACTATCTCAGTAAGTAATAAAATCTTGATTGTTCTTTTCAGTTTGGCTCGTCTTAATTGATCACCTCAATCTGATAGCTCAACAGAAATTAAGAGCAAAGAAAGTAGTAATTATATTAAGCAAACATGAACTAAATAAAACAATAATACTAATGTGATATTTGAAAAGAAAGAAGATTCTTGGCTAGAATAGCATGTAAATTAAAAAGGAAGTTACTGGAATCAGTGTTCTAAGGTCCTTGTATTGCTCTAGAAGATAATAAAGATATTGTCTAACTTTAGGCTTTGCTAATTAAGTATGAATGTTAAACTTTGGGGGGTAACCACAAAAAACAGAGGTAGAATGTATAACAACAAAACAACCCCTCCCAAAAAATGGAATAAAAATAAAAGCTCAACAAATTTGGTACCATATTCAGTAACTACAATGGCACTAATCAACTAAAAAATATATCTCATAAGTTTGGAAAATAAGAAATGCTTAATGAAATGAAGAAATGACCACTAGGTAACCCATGAGTCACAGAAGGAATCATAATTGAAATTAAGACATTTCTCCAACTGAATAATAGCGCACACGTAAAAAATGCCTCCACATCAAAACTTGCAGAATGCAGGTAAGCAGCTTCTTAGGGCAAATTTAAAGTTGGAAATGCTAAAAAGAAAAAGGCAAAAATTAATGAACGAACTCAATTTAAGAAGAAAAAACAATAGCAGAATAAACCAAAAAAAGAATTAGGAAATAAATAATAAATATGAGTAGGAGTCAGTGATACAGACAACAAGCATTCAATAGGATCAGCAAAGCCAAAAGCTGGTTCTTTGAAAATACTAATAAAAATACTTAAGCAAAGATTTACACCAACAATTTGGAACCTTGAATAAATGGCCTAATTTCTTAAAAAATGTAAGTTAAGTTGGCTGATGAAAAAACAATGTCTTAATAACTCCAGAAACAGTAAATAAATTGAATCACTAATTTAAAATGGCACCCCCCACCCCATTTATTTGGGCCAGACAGTTTTATAAGCAAGTTCTACCAACCTTTGAATAAATGACTGATTTCAATTTTACAAGATTTTTTCAGAGTATAGAAGAGGGACTAATTCTCAGTTCATCTTGATTCTAAAATTTGATTAAAGACAGTATGAAAAAATCACAAGCCAACTTCACTCATGATTATAGATGAAAAAAATTTAAAACAAAATGTTAACAAACTGTATCTATCCCTGAATAAAAAGAGAATACATGATGACAAAGTTGGCTTTATGCCAGATATGCAAGATTAGTTTGTCATTACAATATCAATTAATGCAATTCACCACATTAACAAATTAGAGGGGGAAAATTATCCAGTCATCTCTAGATGCATAAAAAGAGTCATATAAAATCCAAAATCCATTTACGATAAAAATTAAAGAGGACTTCCTTAACCTGATAAAAAATATTGACAAAGAAATCATCATAATTAACATGAAATACTAAAAATATTTCCTTTAAAATAAGGAACAAGATAAGGGTGCTCACTGGAACTACTTCTATTCAATAGTATCTTGGATGTCCTAGCCACCACATTGAGACAAGAGGGAAAAAGTATAAGCAATGAAACAGAAGAAAGAAAACTTTTTATTTGTAGATAAATATGATTGCCTATGTAGAAAATTCAAAAGAATCTAGGAAAAAAAAAAGGAATTAAAAACAAAGTTTGAGAAGATTGCTCAAGAAAAGAAATCAATAAACATAATGAGAAGAGTTTCTATGCAAATACTTAGAAAATGCAACAAAA